TTGTTGGCAATGGAGCAGATTTACTTATCAAAATAACGGTCAAACTACTGCTCGACCAAAAAGTCACGAGGAAGGCAGTTGGAACGATTTTACTGAATGCCATACGGTTAAATCGTTGCGCATTTTGAAGCAAAACGCTTCTCGCTTCTTAGTTACCAAGTAACACTTACCCTATACAATATTAGACCGTGAATGTTCATGAATTTCGAAATTTTTTGTTTTAAAATCTTATTTTTACCTGGAACTCATCCCCAGTCTTTAACTGCCTTTCACAAGCCACACATGAAAAGCATGCCACATGGTAAACGGCTTGTCTCGCTCGCATCACCAATTCACTCCGATCGAACGGCAGATCACAGCGGTTACATCTGGTGCCGAAAAGCCTGAAAAGAGCACAAAGGTACTATTAGTTGTGCAACTTCCTCACATGCATGACCTGGCATGACCGTCTTTCCGCTGGCGGCACCGTTCATGGCGCCAGATACTGTAGCAATGACGTCACTCGCCGCTTATTAAAGGAAACCCGCATGTGCAGTATCTGTAGGTGCGGTTGTTATTACCGCATTATTTCCGCTATGAGGATAACCGTGTTAGGGAAGAAGGTCGCACATGCAAAGTTTTGAGGTTTTGTTGAAGAATAGAAGTTCGTATAAGCGCAGTCAACTTTTTTGTGCTATTTTTACTCAAATTGGGCGCTAATTGGATAATTATCAAGTCTTTCTGTTGCGAATCGATCGGAAACATTAGATTTGCTGACTACTAAATGTTAATACAGGATAAAACCATAAGACACTTTCACTTAAAGTGGGCTAAGCTAATTATTCTGCATCAGAGTCTTACAAAATGTGTAGTACTAGTTTCGTAATTTCTAAGAATGAATCGCAGATGTCTTGAGAAAATCAAAAAAATGTCCTTTCTGACAGGAGATCAATCAGTTCTATTACAGATTCGTCCCCCATTACATCCTCGCTCCTTTTCCTTCCCAAAAATCAAACTATAAAGAAGGTTAAATGATTTGTACGAGTAAGGGACAATGTGTTGAAAGTGATAGAATCCG